ATATTCAGCTTTATATTTACTTGGGACTAGCCCATATGTTCATTACATCAAACATACGGTGACAAACTAAATTTAATACAAATATCCAAATCATATGGGGAAACATACAAGGACTCATAATAACACATTATAAGAGGAAGATAATAACTTGCTATAAATATCTCTCCTGCCTGCAAATCTAACTGAATATAAAAAATGACAAGCCTTGCTTTTCACATACTGCATACGGCTGTGTCAGGATCCTTAATAACAGATGGCGCTGTAAAAAAAAAAAGCCAAATCCACCTAGTTGGTTGAAAGCAAAAGCAGAACAGGAGAGCACACAAAACATATTAAATAATAAACAAATACATTACACACACCCTGCACCTATAATGGGCACAGGGTGACTAAAATATAAGAATAGTCTAGGGATCTACAAAAAGTGTCTGGTGATGGTGACTACTGTCACAGTGTTTCTTTAAAGGTGCATGTATTTCTAATGTTATAATGTCCTACTGACTATATAGATATTTAGGCCCCCTTATGAAATAAAAAAATATATTTTACTCACCTTGCAGCCCTCATCATACCTCTCATCGTGCTACGTGTGCCTATCTTTTCCAAGGTCATCAGTTTTGATTATCTCAGCCAATCCAATGCTTCCCCATAGGAAAGCAGTAAGAGACCAGTGCGGATGTGTGGCAAATCGACACGCTGCACCAGTTAAATGCTCTCTAGGAGCAACATTTGATTGAGAGACGAAGTGACTTGCTTCTCACAGGATAAGTTCCCGTAATGGCTGTCAGGAAGACAGCCACTAGAGATGTGTTAACCCTGTAAACATAACAATGCTGTATCTACAAAGCAGCAATAATTGAGGTTGCATGGTTGAAACTAAAAGACCACTTCATTTGGATGAGGTATATATACGTGTAGCAATAGACCACCCAAGTGCAGCAATATAAAATAGATTAAGAAAGGTAATTGACTTTCCTTACATTCTAGAGTGTAACAAAGGTTCCTCAAATGCTAACAAATAGCCAAAAAATACAAGATACACCTAGAAAAAATAAAAGCAGAGAACATACATAGTGTAACACCATAAAATAAAATAATCACTGCTTTATGAATTGCACTCACAGGATAGAGGTAAATTTCAAGCCCATCAAATTCTCTTAGGGGTTCTGGTTGAATGATTCCTTATGGATCAGATGTATATGCAAAAGAAAAACTGGACATAGTATAGGACTGTATAATGTAGTAAAAAATTATTTATTGGAAACACTTACAAAAAGTAAGAAGTTAAAACGCCCATCAGATAACCTGGTCGCTCCTTCCAGTTGGTACAATAGGAACAACAGATTACAGGAATCACAGGCTGTAAGAATAGTAAATAGCTCTAGCTCTACGCGTTTCGTACAGAAATACAATATTTCTCATACTAGATCATTGACCATTCCTATGTCCATCGAATAAGAATAATTCTAACCAGATTTTATGTTTGCAGAATTTTAACTTTCCTAATTAAGATTCATTATTTCTAATTTACGTAAGCTAATATATCTGGATAATTGCCTGGTATTCTATTTTTAAAGTTAAAAGTGATATAGAGTTCATTGGTCCACCTGCGGGAATGGAATTACGAATTCAATATATTTTATTAACGAATCATGACTCCTTAATATTGGAATCACCAGCTTTTATCCAAGTATATACTGCCTTTTAGTAAAATCAATTAATTTAAATTAATTGAATTAAATAAAACCAGCATAATTACCAGTTATGTTGTAGAATTTCTCTTTTTCAGGCTTGGATATGTATCTCAGGAATTTTGAATGCAAGTATGATGTATAGAGAATTGTATGAAAATAGAAAAGTTTTCAATGAAAGTGTAAGTACACTGGAAACAGAGATGGGTTTGTTAGCTAATGAAGACCAGGAAAAAGCAGAAATTTTAAATAACTATTTTTCTTCAGTATATATGAATGAGGATC